AAAAAATACTTGGTTTTTTGGTGGCAAGACGATTTTAGTCCTAAAATCTTGACCCATCAGCAAGCTGCTAAGTTTAGTACTAAAATATCAGGTTACTAGGTGGTAAAAACAGTTGTCACTTGAATGTTCCGTTAAGTCTGTATTAATTGCTTCTGTGTTGCGAATACCACATTCTTGAAATTCCCATGTTTGAGGATAACAAAGAACTTGAAATAATTCTATCCTGAAATTCTGGACTTTTGAAATGAAAAAAATCAGTGTTAAAGGCATTCTTTAGGGTTAATGGTTGAAACTGATAAGCTATGTGTTTGGGATTCAATCCTTTTTCTATGAGATAATTTATATAAGATTACATTTCTATATATGGCATGCCAGGCCACAAAACCCATATCCTTGAAACTTAATTCAGCCATGCCGAGTCCAAGAGCTTTCAATGAAAACTTGCGTCCCCACTGCAGCTCTGAAGCACATCTCCCTGGGACCACAGGCACTAGTTAGTTTGTATTGGCAAACAAAGGTGCTAATTGATATCAGTCATTCTCTTGTGTTTTGAATAGAGGGAAACCAAAGGCAGTTGCCATTAAATAAAGTAGTAAAAAGCACATGTGAACTTCAGGTAATACAGAAGAGTAAATGCCTTCTTACTCTCATGCCATCTCTTCTCCCTAAAACATTATTACCAGCCTAAGTTTTCTCTTTTTACAAACGGGGCTAAATTACACTTGCTTTTCTGCTTATATTTTTAAAAAGTCAGGCCTATTGAGGTACAAGTTAACAGGTGGTAACATTCACCCATTTTGGTGTACAGTTCTATGAATTTTGACAAATATACACACCATAATCAAGATACATAACGTTGCAGTCCCTCCAAAAAGTTCCTTCTCACTGCTTCATTTTTGCAACCACCACCACAATCAAGATACAGAACATTTCTATCACTCCAAAAAGTTTCTGCTTTCTGCCTCAATTTTAACAGCTGTGCTGTATTCAATTATATTTAGATTTACCTTAATTTTTCTAAATAACCCCTCATTGATTTATATTTACATTGTTTCCAGTCTTATAACTCAAACCAGGTACAATAAATACCTTTGTATATAAATGTTGGTGTACTTTGACAGCTACAGACATAGGGTGAACTCCTAGCAGAGAAGTTACAGAATTAAAGACTGTGAGCATTTAACATTTTGATAGGTAGGGCCAGATGGCCTCCCCTGAAAGTTGTACTAATTTACTTTCCAACAAGTTCTGCATAAGAGTGCCTGTTACTCTTAGCACTGGGTGTCACCAAATTAGATTTTGCTAATTTGATGGATAAGCTGTTACCCAGCAAAGTAACTTGCTTTTTTTTTCCTTCTCACTTTAAACACATACCAAAAGTTAACACATACCCAAAGTCCAACCTATGTTATTTATGGCTAAAACCACAAGCATTAGAGGAAATATGACTAGAAAAACCTTAACTTTGTTTTCACTATCCCAATAGCATTTAAATTTCCTGCTCACTCTTAACGTACATTTTTATAACCAGCCTCATATCATATGCACCATTTGTGCCTGTATTATGTTTGCTTTTTAAAAGTTTATTTCATAAGCATTTTTCTTTCTTCCAGAATCTTCATTTTAATCTTTGTATGTTTGTTTCTTCTATTTCTGGGCCATGGCACAGTTCATTTAATCATTCTACTTCTAAAATTTTTTTATACTTTTTTTTTTTACTTATTATGAACAAGGTTTCAAATACCATCTTTTAAAAATAAAAGTTTAAAAAAATCCTTTAAAATTTGTTTAGTAGGATAAATTTCACTAGTCTGATTCTTCTGGATCTAAATGTAGCAAAATCAAGTGAGAGGATAGAATCTTGTGTTTGAAGTAGTTTTTGTTCCTTCATTGAGAATTCAGTGACTTTCCACTGGAGAAGGAGCCAGTTACGTAGCAGTTTGCCTCTGTGCCAGCTTAATGTATTCCTTTTTTTTTTCATTAAAAATTATAAAAATGATACGCAACTTATAAAGATTTCATATCCACTTTCCAGAGGTAATCAACCCACTGTTATTTAGTAAATTAAATTTTTTAATTTAATTTTTTTCTCAATAAATCATTCACATTTTTCAATATTTAAAAATTACCGAACAATATACAGTGAAGGCTCCTTAGCCTTGTTCCCCCAGTACCCAGTTCCCCTTCTTGGAAGCAGTTAATATTATTAGATTCTTGTGTATTCTTTCAGACACATTTTATGCATTTTTGAGCACGTGTGTGTCTCCTTTTAAGCCACAAGTGTTAGCAAGCTGCACGTACTTTTTTTGTACATATTTTCTTAGATTACTTTATTTGTATTTAATTTTTTTAAAGTAGATAATAATTACACGTGGTTCAAAAATAAAATAACGTGAAGGCTTGAGTAGTTCCTCTTCTATTTCAGTACCATGTGTGTGATGTACCACCCTTCAAGGAGTCTTCATGCATTAGAAACAAACAGGAAGGCCCATATTTTCGTTTTCCGTCTGTAAGTTTTAAGCTAACCTGTCACGCAGTACAGAATAGGTGTGAAGAGCCGGGGGCTGGCTCCCTGCATATAGATGTCTGCGCTGCCACGTATCACTTGTATAACCGTGGGCAAATATTTAAGCTATCTGTGCTTTATAATCTTCATATGTAAAATGATGACTCAGTGTACACACTTTGCATACATAAGAAGTGTGCATGTTTGCTGGTAGTAGTAGTCTATAAAATTGTTAGGGACAATGACCAATAAAATAATACCCAAGAATCAGTTCCAGTCAGTTTGCTTTATCTTAATGATGGATGTGGATGTGGGTAAATTCATTTAACAGAAAAGAATGGATGGCATTTCTCCCTTGTTTGAATTCTACTTAAGTGTTTTAGAAAACTTCACAAAACAAAATTAAAGCAGCTAAAATATATAGTTCCTGTCTTTTGGGTTGACAGTTCTTTTCTTTTTGCACAAATTCCTTTAAACAGATATACTTTCTTTATGTAATAAAAATGTCCCTGAGAAGGTGAGGGTGGAGATGGCTGCCAAGAATATGAACTCTTTTGCACAGAGCACCACATTTTAAGTGGTTTCTCATGTGCTTTCTACTCAAATTTAGTTAAAATACATACATATCTATACATAATATTTAATTTTAGGAGGTACTGGCCCTTAAGGTTTTTAAATTCCCTGGCCATATCTTTTTAGGATCAAATCGTTAATAACACTGAAAGTTCTTAAGGCAAGCAAGGGGCTGGGGGACTCAACTCTCTTTCTATTCAATTTTTCCATTCTCAGTTCTTTTTCTTAATAAAAAAATTAAGGCAACAACAAAACCTCTTTTCCCCTTCCCACTTTCAGATCCTAGTTACAATATAATACATATTTATTGTAGTAAAGTTAAAAACAGGAGACACACAGAGAAATAAGATCACCTTAAAACTACCACCAGTGTAGTAATATTTCTGTTAACAGCTTCGTGTCTAGGCTTCTTGCCTTTTTTCTCTGTATAGATCTGCACACAGTCACTCATGTTACTGATTTGTTTGTCTTTCACAGTGATGGTGTCTGAAGTGCTGTACACGCTGGTGTCTTGTCTTTTTTAAATAGACTCAGGATCATGAACATTTTAATCACCATTCAGTTATCTGTAGGATCATTTATAAAAGGTGCATCATATTCCATTGAACACATGCCATACCGAAGTTTATTTTGTAATATATTTATTTCCTATTCAAGGACATTTAAAAATAAACTATCGATAAAACACTCCTGTAAACCAGTCTTTTTGGACAGCAGTTATATTTGTATGGTAAATTCTGAGACATGGACTTACTGGGTTGCAGGGTACGAACTTTTTTCATGCTTCTAATACACATTACCAAACTGTTCTCCAGATAGTTGGCATCGCCCTAGTGCTTGCCTGCATGGGGTGTGGTCTTAGGTCAGTCCTTGCCTCTTTGAGCTGCCAATTCCCCTTTTGCACTGGTGCACACTCACCCCCCAGGGCCTCTGTGCCGCCTCTTCCTTCTTCCCTGCGTCCCTCCTTTTCTTTTCTCCTGTATCCTTCCTCCTTCCCACCTCAGACTTTCATAGAAGCTGGATTTTCTCCAGGTTAGAGAAGGAGCCGTTTCGAATGCTGTTTACCTCACTCTCCACCTGCCTTTCCAGGCATTTGCTGTATATACACTATTCTTGACACTCTTTTTGGACAGCACCCCGTTTTTCAAAAAAAAATTTTTTCTGCTTTATGAATTCTGATTTTCACTGTAGTGATTATTAGTAACAGCTGATCTGTAACATTTGTGATGTCACCTCTTGCTCTTGCTCTGTGGTAAGAGGATTGTCCCTGTATTCCTGGAGACCAGGACGAGTCCAGCAGCCTCAGGGCTTCAGGGCTTCCTAAGGATGAAAGAGCTGAGTGCTCGGTACCCTGCCTGCCCTACAGTGAGCGCTCACAAGGCTGGCTTTTCCTGTCATCTCGGGTGACATGCCAGTGAAGCAGGCATCACGTTTCTCATCCTGCATTTCAGGAAGTGGGATCAGAAAGATGGAATGAATACTTTTCCTATTGTCACATCTGTTCCAGAAAGTGGTGGTGTCAGAATCTGAATTTAGGAATTTGGGTCCATAAGGACTGTTGCAAAGTGGGGAAACTAAAATGAATGACCAGAGTTGTTTCTAATTATTCCGACAATCCGTAGAAGATCCTGTGAAGTTTCAAGCGCTTTATTCATGGGGGCCTGAGAGGTGCAGCAGGTGAGTGAGAAGATGTGCTTAGTTCCAGGAGGAGAGAATGGTTCCTGGGCATCTAGAAAGACAGGTGGTTATATCCAGAAGTCTTCCAGACAGAGACCAAAGAGTTTTTCAAGAAGCTTAAGATGACTGAGCACTAAGATCAAAACATTTCACAGGTTTCTCTACTTTGGTTTAAATTAGAATGCAGTCCTGTTTTAAATATGTATATGCTGATTGGGTTTTTATGTTAACTTGTTTCCGACAGGGCACGGTGCTGATGTGAAATGTGTAGACTGGCATCCAACAAAAGGGTTAGTTGTTTCAGGAAGTAAAGATAGTCAACAGCCAATCAAGTTCTGGGATCCCAAGACTGGGCAGAGTCTTGCAACACTGTAAGTGATAGGAACCCCGGCTTGGCCCCTAAGCAGAGGGGAGTGAAGCTGTGTGTATTCTTTCACTTCCAGCTTTCTTTCCTCTGTGTATTCCTGAAAAAGTGGTGTAGACAACAGATGGCCTTTATCTGTAGACTTCTTACTGATTAAATAGGATCTCTCTCTAAATTCCTCATGAAACAAGGCTTGATGTTTGCTCTGCCACACGCACCTAAATGTAGCTCGGCTGGGGTGGGGAGGGGGTGGTGGTTGCTCTTCTGGTTTGCTGTCTCTGGCTCTCCTTGGCATCATACCTTGTGGCACTGTATGGAGTTGACGTGCGTGCCGTTTATTAGACACAGCCCAGCTTTCTCCATGTCAGTGCATCAATTTATGGAAAAACTCTCCATTTTAGTTAGTACATTTGAATATTGGTGAGGTAAAGACCTTTTCTTCCCCCCATTCACAGAGGTACTGGGGATTGCACCCAGGGCCTCGTGCACTCCAGGCACACGCTCTGCCACCGAGCTATCCTCCCCTACCTCCATTTTTGACTCAGGTCTCGTTTTTTGTGAGGTGTTCATTTATGATGCAGCCACGTAATAAAATTTCCTCTTTGAATCATCTGTAAACATTGACAGTTATATGAGTACGTTGTCAACATCTTTTTGACCAAGCAGCTGTGTCCCGGTCCCTCTGACAGGGAAGTGAGCAGGCGGGAGCAAGGCGGCCCCGTCACACGGCTCCAGTGGCCACAGCCAACAGCATGGTGCTCCCCAGAGACGGGCACGTGCTGGCCTCAGCTGCTGCAGGGTCTTTCGGTCCAATTAACCTTCAAACTGCCCTGGGCCCTTCTTTATGCTTTGTCTTAACGAGATGCTTCATTCAATTTTTAAATGAGCTTTACTGAATATTAATTTATGTGTTCAAGCGCTTCCTCTGCTTCACAGTCCAATTGAAGCTCTGCTTCTCCTTTAACTGGTTGATGGAAGCCGTGCTTAGCTGATGGACATTCTCTCTGTCTTTGACCTGCTTCTTCCGCCTGCACTTTTAACCGTGGTCCTGTAACGTTACGTGCTGTGTTACCTCTAGGCCAATCTTCTTGCCATCTTGACAACCATGTGCTTTTCAATTATATTAATTTATACTTGTTTTGAATTCTGACAGATTATCTTCTTGGTGCTTTGTTTCTAGTCACGCCCATAAAAACACAGTCATGGAAGTGAAATTAAATCTCAATGGCAACTGGCTACTCACAGCATCCCGTGACCATCTCTGTAAACTTTTCGACATCCGAAACCTGAAAGAAGAGCTCCAAGTCTTCCGAGGTCATAAGAAAGAAGCTACAGGTCAGGGCTGTGATACGCTCCCATTCTGACTGTCACCTGCTGTCACCTGTAGGGCTCTCAGATCCTGATAGTTTCTGTTCCTGCCCGTGTTTTGTTTACAGCTGTGGCCTGGCATCCTGTTCATGAAGGACTTTTTGCAAGTGGAGGGTCTGACGGCTCTTTGTTATTCTGGCATGTTGGGTATGTGACGCTTATTATGTAAAGAAGCTGTAAATTTTATGACAAGAGCACCTGAAAGTGTAAAAATCATCATATTTTCTATTTTTTCTGACTATTCATATGTCCTGTATCAGAGACTTCCTACAGCTTTCAATTCTGTAAACTCAGCTTAGAATGGAAGACTGAGCCCCTCTGTTTTTGGGTATAGAAGTCGTGAAGGGAGAATAAAACCCATTTCCTTGTTTCCTATGGTGAGGCTGATTCTGAGCCATCTTCCCTCTGAGGTGCTCTTTGAATGAAAGAGTGTGGATGACAAATCAGTACCCCTGAATCACGTGGAACCGACCAGGTTCAAAGTAACAGACTTTGCTGCCTTCATTACATTAAAAGAAAATGTTTTGAGGGGAGGTTTTTATTTTTGGTTTTTTTGGAGGTTAAATTCTGTGAAAAACACTACTTTGTGTGGTGCCATTACAGGGTGGAGAAGGAAGTTGGGGGGATGGAGATGGCCCACGAAGGAATGATCTGGAGTCTGGCTTGGCATCCTCTTGGACACATTCTCTGCTCAGGTTCAAACGACCACACTAGGTAAGAGTTGTATCAGAAATAACAAGCGATACTGTCTTCATGAAGCAGCAGGAAATAAGTACATACTCATTTTACTGATAGATGGATGTATTAATATGTATGGCTTATTCTTAGGCACATGTTTGTAGTGATTATAAATATATATTATGAGGAGATTGGGTATTGAATGTGACTTTGTTATTTGAATTTTGTTTTGTCTTCTGATTAAAAAGAAATCTTTTCTACATTTAAAAATTCTAGAATAGGGCATTGTAAATTTGTGTTGTTTTTGCCAGAGGGCTGCTTAGTACTGTTAAGTGCCCAGAAATACACTGAAACCATACTCCTCTCCTCCCTGCTCCAAAAACTTTTATTTTGACAGCAAATTTTGGACCCGAAACCGACCAGGTGATAAAATGCGAGATCGGTATAATCTAAACCTATTACCTGGAATGTCTGAAGATGGAGTGGAATATGGTGAGGTTCTTGCACATTTATCCTTCTTTGAAATCTGATATTCTGTTATAAAAGTGTTGGGTATTGAAAAGATTATGCAAAACTAATTTTAGTTTTATAATTTATTGATTCAGAAATCGCCAACAATTTCATTTTTATAAAGTGTTGATTTTATTGGCCTACTACATTTATAAGATTTCTACTGACAATGGAAGATTTCTACTGACAATGGCTGTATTCCTATTTATAGATGACCTTGAACCTAATAGCCTGGCAGTGATTCCAGGGATGGGAATACCAGAACAGCTAAAATTAGCTATGGAGCAAGAACAGATGGGTAAGAGACGTTGTACCTATAAATTTTGCTTTTTCTATAATTTTACCTATTTCTTATCATTATGATATTAAATTATTTTGAAAATGCCAAAGTGTTGCAAAATGTTGATGAAAGTGATGTGAACTGCATACGTTTAGAATCTGTCCTTCTAAAAATATGTTCACTGATAAAGTGGCCACTTTCTTTCATTTTCTTGGCTAACTACTTCTCTTTATGGTTCCAGGGAAAGATGAATCCAATGAAATTGAAATGACAATTCCAGGTTTAGACTGGGGAATGGAGGAGGTGATGCAAAAAGATCAGAAAAAAGTCCCTCAGAAGAAAGTTCCTTACGCAAAGCCGATTCCTGCCCAGTTCCAGCAGGTGAGTGACTGGGAGTGGCTCCTGCGTCCAGACACTGGAGACGCTGCTGGGTGAGGCTAACTGAGGTGCAGAAATCAGTTTCTCTTGGATTATCTCATCAGTTGAAGGTATTTCTGTACCATAGGCTTTTTCTGAGCATTCTTCATGGAGTTCAGGCATCCTTAGGCACAGTTCTCGGCCGCCCCTCTGCAGTTAGTGCTCAGTCTGTCATGCGCCTTCTCTAGATGCTCTCTTAGTCTTACCTGCTTGTTATCATCTGAGCCACCAGAAGGAGGAAAAAAGGCATAGAGCAGAAAGAGTACAGTGATTCTGACATTTGTTTGTCTGTCTTCCACTTTATTTCTTCCCTCAACACAAAGCACACATGCCCTTTGGAAGAGACAGGCAGGTTTTTTGTTTGTTTGTTTTCGTTTTTTGGTGTTTTGGTTTTTTTGGACAGGCAGGCTTTATATCCTAATAACATGCAAGATCTTACAGCTTTTTTTATCAGCTTAGCAATTTCTACCTAGGAATGTGCTTGTCTGAGTTCACTCCCGTGTCACTAAGAGTTAGCATTAGAAATAAAGCTGGTTTATCAGGTGAGCTGACTTGTATTCACCAGGTTGGAATGAGCCAATGACATTACAGAGTGGTTTTTCTCATTCTGTCATTATAATTTACACACTTAGGGCATATTTTAATCTTCTCTTCTTTACCAAGGCTTGGATGCAAAATAAAGTTCCAATTCCTGCGCCAAACGAAGTATTGAATGACAGAAAAGAGGACATTAAATTGGAAGAGAAGAAAAAAACACAAGCAGAAATTGAGCAAGAGATGGCCACGCTGCAGTACACTAACCCACAGCTGCTGGAGGTGCGTGAAGCCGTTCTGGGGGGATTCGGGATGATCTAGGAGAGTAGCATGCCACTTTTTATCGACGTGCCCTGAAGGAGAAGGGAGGGGACTCTTGGGTGGGTCTGATGAGTGGCACCGATTCTTGTTGCTGCATTAGGAGGCTAGTTTCTAAAAGAATCCTGTTTCTCAGACTTCTAAAACCAGGTCAGTCAAGCAGTGAGTAGATCTAAGTTACATTTTTACTAGACAAGATAAAGCCGACATAGTTTTAATTTGGGTTCACTTATTTATCCACAGATAAGAGTTTTTCTGTCAGCTCTAGAGCAGATGGTTTGTTCTTGTAAGAATGAAACACTAGTAGATTGTTGGGCTTTCCCTCATCAAGACGGATATAAATAATCCTGACTGCTGTTTCCCAGCACCTAAAAAGAAGTGTTCTAGAGTGAGTCTGGCAGCCTGAGTACTTTCAGAACGTCCGAGTGCCATACAGACGCTGGTTACCATTGGGGCACTAAGAGGTCACTTGACGTCACATGATTGTTTTGAGGCTCCTCCAATGAAATAAGTGAAGGCAGTGTTGTCATCTTTAAGGTCTCTGGCTTATTTATCAGCATGCTTTTTCTTTCTTTCCAGCAACTTAAAATTGAAAGACTTGCACAGAAGCAGGCTGAGCAAATTCAGCCTCCTCCTTCATCCGGCACCCCTCTCCTGGGACCCCAGCCCTTTCCAGGACAAGGCCCAATGTCTCAGATTCCTCAAGGTTTTCAACAGCCTCATCCGTCTCAGCAGATGCCAATGAACATGGCTCAAATGGGGCCTCCAGGTCCACAGGGACAGTTTAGACCCCCTGGACCCCAGGGACAAATGGGACCACAAGGTCCTCCACTGCATCAGGGAGGTGGGGGGCCACAAGGATTCATGGGACCACAAGGACCCCAGGGCCCGCCCCAGGGGTTGCCAAGGCCTCAGGACATGCACGGGCCTCAAGGAATGCAAAGACATCCTGGACCTCATGGCCCTTTGGGACCTCAAGGACCACCTGGACCACAGGGTAATTCTGGTCCTCAAGGTCATATGGGTCCTCAGGGTCCGCCTGGCCCACAAGGTCACATAGGCCCACAAGGCCCACCTGGCCCGCAGGGTCACTTGGGCCCTCAGGGACCTCCTGGTACTCAAGGTATGCAGGGACCACCTGGTCCCAGAGGAATGCAAGGACCTCCTCATCCTCATGGGATACAAGGTGGGCCAGGATCTCAAGGGATCCAAGGTCCTGTGTCTCAGGGACCTCTGATGGGATTGAATCCAAGAGGAATGCAGGGCCCTCCTGGCCCCCGAGAGAATCAGGGCCCTGCTCCCCAAGGGATGATGCTGGGCCACCCACCTCAAGAGATGAGAGGACCTCATCCTCCAAGTGGACTGCTGGGACACGGGCCTCAGGAGATGCGGGGCCCCCAGGAGATGCGGGGCATGCAGGGGCCTCCACCCCAAGGATCAATGCTGGGCCCTCCGCAGGAACTGCGAGGGCCTCCAGGCTCACAAGGTCAGCAGGGGCCGCCCCAGGGCTCTTTGGGACCTCCACCCCAGGGTGGCATGCAAGGGCCCCCTGGACCTCAGGGACAGCAGAACCCGGCAAGAGGGCCACATCCATCTCAAGGGCCAATACCATTCCAGCAGCAGAAAACAGCTCTGCTAGGTGATGGGCCCCGGGCCCCCTTCAACCAGGTATTATTTTTTTTCCAACTTGTAGGCGTTAATTAACATTTGGGGAAAACACACTCTGCACTGAGGCGGCACTTCTGAATGCTGTGAAAGGCAGTCGCAGCTGGGAGAACGTCTTCTCAGTAGTGATAGTGGTGGGGACTAGCATCACAGCTGAGCAAAGAAACAGATGATTAAGTAGACTTAACTAGATCGCAGTATGAAGCTTTACTTCTGAACCTATGTGTTTTCACAGAGGTCCTTCCAGGAAAGATGAACTCTGACTTGAATACTGTTCACAAGTGTCCCAGGGCTCCGGAAGGGCTGTGGCTGGGGAGGACACGGGGCTGGTTCTGGGCTGCTGCCTCTCCTGGGCTCTCTGCGCTGGAGGCTTGGTTTCATGGGTTCGCCAGACGGCCCAGCCATCTCCTCTCTGCCTGCTGACCTGCCTGTCGGCTCTACTTTTTAAGATAGTGCAAGGTGTTTAACTCAGGAGTTTACTGTAGACCCTGACCTCACTGTTTACTTCAGTGAGTGCTTTTAGAGATCTCCGAGTCCAGACTTGCACATTTTCAAGTGGTGACCCTTTGGATGAAATTCTGTTCAAGTTGTTTTCAGCTCATGGATGAAAGTATTTACAGGAGGGGGCTTTCTGTAGAACTTCTCGTGGCCCTTTCAGAGGATTCTGTTATTCAGCCAAGCTTTATTACCTGTGTGCTCAGCTTGTGCTTGAGAGATAGGGCGAGGAGAGCTCCATTTCCCTGGGGCGAGTTACAGAAAGACCTCGGGAGCAGGAATGGAGTGAGCACTGTTTGGCCTGTGGTTTTTACATTTTTCTGAAAGTCATAGACTGGAAGCATTATTTGGGTAGGAACAACTGGGTTGGTGTCCTTGAAGTCAGTTGTGGACCAAAAGTGAGTGAGAGAGTGAGTTAGTGTGGACTCCCTGGGTCTCCACTTGGAAGAGGGCGAGCTGCAGATCCGTGTGTAGAAAACACCTCTGTGCATCTGTAATGTGAGGGTGAACAGTGGAGTCACTGAATTAAAATAACTAGCTACGTAAGGAGATGACATGCCACTCTTCAGCAGACCTTCCAGAACTTAAAAATGTCACAGAGTGAAGGATCTGATGGCATTTGGTTTTACTTCCAGAGTTTATTGGGCACTTTTCAGAATTTAGATGTTTAATAGATCTATGTTTGTCCTCCAGAACTGCCCTAAAACTTGAAGTATTCTATATTTTATTAACACAGTATATTTGTGTTTGTTTATAATATTTACCTACTTACCTTATGTTAGTCAATTAACAGTTTCCATTTTGGAGGATAAAAACATAATGAACTTTAGCTGCCACCTTATGACTTAAATTATATAAACATGTCGAATTCAAGAGGACAGCCCTGTTGGGGACAATTCAGTAAGAGTTTTTATTATGTCATATAGTAAAAAATTTTATACCTGAAAAGCATAATGACACTAAAAATTTAATTGGCCTATAGAAGTATTGGTGGAATGAGAATGGAGGTTTAATACCTTATAGGGCATTTCAAATCTCAAGAGTTGCCTGATGAAAATCTTTGCTCCTATTTCTTATATTCTGAGATCTGGCTTTCTTAACTTGGATCAGGTCAGTTATTTAAACCAGTTGTTTTACTTGGTGAAACTGAATGGAAGGGCTTTCAGGTGTTAAGGTAATAGCGTGAAAGATGCTTGTAAGAGCTGCCCTTGAGTAAAGGGGACAAGAGACAAAGGAGTGTGGAAATGACTGGCATTGGGTTAACGATGCCGTTCATAACTGCAGGGCTGAGAATGAGTCCTGTCCAGGCTGCTCTTTCACGTAGCTGGTGTGGAAGGAGAAGACAGTTTTGCTCTTGATGGTTTTGAAATATGTGTGTGTGTGTGTGTGTGTGTAGTAAAATATTTGGTTATTTATTTGTTTCTTTGTCAGGAGACTAGATCCAAGGTCACTGGGCAGTGTGGGGAATCAGAGTTTAGACATGGCTAGATAAAAACATGGAATATTAGGACCAGGGACAAACTGGGGCTGAGCTCTGGGGTTCCAAGGCCAGGAGGCTTGGGATCAGAGCAGCAGAAGCTGCAGGAACCCATGAAGCTGAGGTCTGGGGAAGGAGGCTGCGAATGAGCAGCCGGTGCTCACTAGAGGGGCGGAAGGAGGCGGCAGTGAGTGAGTATCTTGCTCTTTGGGACCCCTTTCTTACTCTCCTGCTCTCCCTTAAACCCAGCCATAATAACCTCTTGAGAGGATGGACTGTTGTCTGTAGGTAGAGAGGCAGCGTGGATGTGAGAGCAGTTTACCTGTCCTGGCAGATTTCCAGGTCTTTACTTTTGCCGAAAGTTCCTTCTCTGTGCAGAGCGTTGTTCTTTTTATGTTACGATTTCTGACTTTCCGTTAAGGTTCTTGCTTGCCATTACAGGTAAAGATCTAGCTTTAAATAAAACCTATCAGCAGGCTTAAAATAAGTATTTCCTTTTATTATGGTTGGAGAAGTATCTCCTTCCCCCCCAATTTAAGGACAATTTTGCCATAATGTCACTAGCTCTATATTTACTGCTGGAAGCTTTGGGGCCACCTAGTGTTTTTACCTGTCACGTTGTGATAAAATTGCTGTTGATGAAGCACAAGCCTTTGATTTCACACCCCCGCTTTAAAAACATCTTTTCAGGAAGGACAGAGCGCAGGCCCCCCGCCCCTGATACCAGGCCTAGGGCAGCAGGGGGCGCAAGGCCGCATCCCCCCCCTTAACCCTGGACCAGGACCCGGCCCTAACAAAGGTAAAGTCTGCTCGGCGGAGTGGGGGGCTCTCTCCACCACCTTCGGGTAAATCTTACAGTAGTTTTATTGGTAAGTAATGGATAGAATGCGGAAATAAGAGCCTAGTCATCTCAGATAATGGCTCCATCTTCGGCTGTTCCCTCAAGGCGCTCAGCTGGGCCCAGGCTGCTCAGAGGCAGTAGCCCCTCACTACATGCGGCAGGCCTCGTCCACCTCTTGGGAAGGAAGGGGAGCTGACTGAGTGCTCCCAGAGAGCTGCACTGTTTCAGTGTACATGTTTTTGATGGGATAAAGAATTCAAAGATTTTAAGTGTTTTTAACATCGCCCCTTCTGTCCCCTCAAACTGTGTCATACGTTGAATTCTGTAGCTGGTTATGTTGTTGGCACCCTTTGAGAAGAAGCAAGCCATGTGCCTCAAGTTGTCATTGTGGGAGGCACACAGATGAGAACTGCTGTGTGGACACAAGTTAGGTGGAAAGAGGGCGCCTGCAGGGGCCGTGGGAGGAGCCAGAGCCCCAGGAAAGTGGGCGGAGAGCCGAGGATGGGCCGTGAGGGCTGGGGGAGGTGAACTCAGAGCCGGAGTTGGTGTTCAGGGCACCTTTTCACAGGAGGACGACAAACCGGAGGACCGTGAGTACTGTGGAGAGTGCCCGACACAGAGCTGGACTGCCCGCAGCTTTGAATGGGCTGAGCCCACAGCGCCTCGCGGTGCATTAGGTTCCTTGTCCCCATTTAGTCAGGTGAAGAAGAGCCTTGGTCAGCATTTACAGACCTAGGACTTTGGAAGTATGAAGCTTACTCTTGAACTTGTGTGGTAATCAGCAGTAGGAAAGGGAGCGGTAAAGGAATTAGGAGAATGTTTATCTTAGTCTCACGCTGTGGCGTGGTGGCCAACAGGGCAAAAGAGAGCAAGCAATCAGAGCGAGGGTTTGGGTTTGGGGACCCAAGAGAAGTCTGTTACCCTCACTGCAGCCATCAGCAAACTGAGAGCCTGCCTCTCTCCCTCTCCCACCTGTGTCTGTCCCGCCTGTTCCCTCTCCTCCTCGCTCGTCCCCTTTTCTCTTCACCTCTCTCTCCCCACTCCCTTCCTCCTCTTTCTCCTCCCAGGGACCCAAGGGAGAAGGGAGAGCCGAGAAAGTGGCCCTGCCACCCCCTACTGGATTCCCCAGCGCCGCATCCCTTCTAATTTGTAGTGGTGGGTTTCTTTCCTTGGAGGAGCCAGGGTACTTTTAAGCAGATAGAGGTGATGGGAGGATTATGATTCATAGGTAAGTCCGATTGGAATGTGTTCAGCTTCCTCAGGTCGAGGGTCCGCTGTGTCTGAGCTCACACCAAGTCCGAGCAGCATAAGGTCAGAGAAGAAGCTATTAGCTACAGCACCCCGCTGAGAAGGGAGGGGCTGTGCACCAGAAGGAGGGGGTCTGGGACATCTGAACTCAGAGGCAGCCTAGAAGGCGCTTGGCTCAGCGTGGAGAGGATGGGTTAATTGAAGGAAGGGAGAAGGCAGGTGGGAAAGGAAGAGCTTAAGACGACAGAAAGTCCTTCTAACAGTGTATGTTTATCCTGAGATTTCCAAGTGTTTTACACATGCTGGGTGGTAGGGAGAAACTGAAATGGCCAAGAGAAGTGAGTAAAACTGGAAGAGGAGGGACACTGGGCGGGTGAGAGTTGCAGCCAAGGGAGATAAAAGGGGAGGGGGTGCATCTTCATTGCGGGAGAAGCAGTGAAGCCTCTGCCACCTGGTGAGGGGAGGAGTTTCATTTGAAAACTGAGTTGTTTTAGAAGCAAGAGTTTCCCTTTGATATCTCCTTTAAAAAATGTTTGAGTTAAATTGGATGTTGACTGAAAACAGGTAGACATTTACAGTGGCTGCAGTAATCATTCGGTAGCCAGAACAGACCCCTTCAAAGTTAGGTGGTAAAATAAGTGGAACTGGCCTCCTTCCATTTTCGTTCAGTACATTTTTACTCAGTACTTTGTACATATATTAAAATAGTTTAAAAGATATTTAACGGGTTTTGAAGCACTGTCTGCAAAGAATGGTGATAATATTACAGCTGAGGGATATCATTCACAGAAATGGGCAGAAGAAGTGTTTATATAAACCCTGAAACTGAAGTACAGCGAGGCTGTTTGGTCACCGAGCAGTTACTGGAGAGGCGCAGGGTTCCACATACCTCACGAGGATTTTGCTAAGGATCCAAGTGTGAGTTAACAAATCCAGTGAAGTGAACCAGGAGCTGAAGGAGAGTGGTCCTGGCCCTGCGGCCCCAGGGCCCCCGCGGGCTCTGCAGGCCTTGCAGGTGCAGGGGTGAGCTCCTGGTGCTTGGCTTCCTGGCCTTCAGCGGGAGTTTTCTCTGATGCCTCCTCCCTGGGGGTGGAGCAAGTGGGCCCAGCGAAATCGCCGAAGGAACGGAGACAGGGAAGGGAAGCTTATTCTGTGAGGGTCTCTCATGTTTTCTAAACACATCTTCACAGCAGCAGTTGTTAATCTCATTTGAGATTAGTCATTTGCCCGTGGTTGAGTTGCTTAGCTAGTGAGCGATGAAGTTGAAATCTGTACCCCAAAACCCTTGTTCTTTTCCTTATGTGAGGCCTTAAAGACATATGTCTCCTAAGTATGCTGGGGGCTGAGGAGGGAAAACATTCTCATAAAAGAATGCATTCTGAAGTTTTAAGGTGCTGAAAATCAGACCCGTGTCGGCAGGATTCCAGGAGGACCCGCTGAACATCAGTTTTGTCTCCTTTAGGTGACTCGCGGGGGCCTCCAAACCACCACATGGGCCCGATGTCCGAGAGGCGGCACGAGCAGGGCAGTGGCCCCGAGCACGGCCCCGAGAGGGGGCCTTTCCGCGGCGGCCAGGACTGCAGGGGCCCCCCCGACAGGCGCGGCCCGCACCCGGACTTCCCTGATGACTTCAGCAGACCAGACGACTTCCACCCTGACAAGCGCTTTGGCCACCGGTTACGTGAATTTGAGGGGCGAGGAGGACCTTTACCCCAAGAGGAGAAGTGGAGGCGTGGGGGCCCCGGGCCTCCGTTTCCTCCTGACCACAGGGAGTTCAGTGAAGGGGATGGCCGGGGCGCAGCCCGGGGCCCCCCAGGGGCGTGGGAAGGCCGCAGACCTGGAGATGAGCGCTTCCCCCGGGACCCCGACGACCCACGCTTTCGAGGGCGCAGAGAAGAAAGGTGGGCAGATACCTGGGGTTCGTTTCTTCTTCCCCAGAGCTTTTCACCTGATCTCTCCACGGGAAGTCTCTTTCCTCTCTCACTTGGGGAGAGAGTGCTCTACCCTCTTTAGGTTTTGTGTTTAGACTTGATATATATGCCTTTTAACTCTTCTGTGGTTCTTTTTTGTCTCTACGATTTAGGAATCTTTTTCTTTTTGCTTATTTTCTGGTCCTTTTAAAGAGATAAGAGAGTCAATGTACTCTAAAGTTTCTTGGATTTGATTAGAAATCTGTAGGTTCTCTTGGTTGGAATGATGAAATAAGAGACAGATACCTAGATTGAGAATAAAGGAGCTGTTAAGTAGGTAGTTTTTATGTAATTGCCTAAAGAGCTTAACAAAATCAAATCAAACTGAAAAATAATCTTGCTCTTAAACTTAAATTAGGTCGAGGTCAGGCCTGAACACTCAACTTGCTTGGGGTTAAAAAAAAATATGGAGCAAAAATCAAGAATTAGTAAACTCACGTGAGCCTTGGAATAATCAGTGATGGTAATTATTTACCATGTGCCAGTTGTTGCTTGATTTAAGCGTTACAGTGAGGAGGGAGATGGGTGTTACTGTCAGCATTTAGACAGTGGGCACAAGAGGTGAGCAGTTCCTGACTCTGGGAGGCCACCTGGTGGTCTGGGCAGGGGCGGCCTCAGGCGGGGCTGTCGGACTGCGGGGCCGCGCTGCCCGGCACGCCTTCTCCCTTGTCCTTCCCCGTCATGTTTCTTACCAGTGTAGGTAATTGAGTCCTGGGTGGCGGTTTCATCTCCTGGGCTGTGTTGAAAAATGGCCCGTGAGGGTGAAACTGGGGAGTTAAGGGAAGCAGCTGTCAGAGGGGAGTTTTTAATAAAAAGATTTCGAGCTCCCAGCTTTCTTAAGGGCCTCTCTTAATGATATCCAAGTATTCACTCTTTGAAATGGCTTCGTATGTGTGTATGAGCCTCACTTCCAGTGGCTTTGGCATCAACATAACTTTCATTGATTTCTTGAATCTGCGTCTTGTGCGGTTTCGGATTTCAGCGTGCATCGATTTGTGCTGTATTCATTCCATCAGTCAGTGACAGACCCACGACTGGACTCTGGTGCTGTCTGCGCTGCGCGCTTCTCTCCAGATGTGCCAGGCGTGTCCTGCACCCGTTGTGCTGGCTGTCCCTCTGCCGGGACACAGCCTGCCGGCTGTGTGTGGCTCAGTCCACTTAGCTCTCTCCTCCCGTTGCCCCGGGCTCCTTTACCCTGCCTTACATTTCTTCAGAGCGCTTAGCACTGCTTGACAGTAAGCAATGTGTTTATTTCGACATTACTTGTATCTCTTGGGAACATGCCAGCTCCTGAGGGCAGGTCCTCAGGACCCAGAGCAGTGGTGGTGACAGTACTGAGACCACAGCTGCCCGGTAACTGTTGAGTAAACGAAGCAGTTAAAGGAGGAGATGTACTTGAGAGGGGTCCGTTTGCCAGGAGGTGTACAACTGAGCACAGGGGGCCGTAACAAGTACACGGGCTGCGGTGGGTGGGGGCCTTAAACAGCAGAAATCTGTGTTCTCATAGTTCTGGGGGCTGGGAGTCCTGGATCGAGGTCTAGCAGGATGGGTTTCTGCTGAGACTTCCCTTCCCCTCTTGCAGACAGCCACCTCCGCCCTTTGTCCATGCGTGATGGAAAGAGGGTGAGCAGGCTCTCAGTGGCGCCTCCTTACAGGCACCGAGCCCATCCCGGGGCCCTGTTCTTGTAACCTCATCCAACTTGGTCAGTTCTCCGAGGCCCGTTTCCAAAATCAATGGGGGATGGGGCTTCACCCTGAAGTTTAGGGGGGCAGGGGTAGGACACAAACGTTTATGTTTCTTGGAAGGGGAGAAGTAATTAGATTTATTTTTTAAATTTTTTATTGTTATTTTTTCTTTTACTGGGGATTGAACCCCTGACGTCGTGCATGCTAGGCATGCGCTCTACCACTGAGCTGTGCCCTCCCCCCAGGACACAAACGTTTAGACCACAACAGGAAGGGTTTTCTAATTAGGGCAAATTAGAGTCTCGCTGTCTGTCTGTGGCTTGCGCAGTTGTGCGGTGGGTGCCCAGACGAGAAAAGAGACCTGCTGTTTGGGGCTTCTTCCCTGAGTCTGTCTCAGGGGAGCCGCACCCTCTGCTGACATGCCCCTGCTCTTGTCAGTCCTAGCCTACCTGAGGGGTTGCTTCCACCAGCGTCGGGGCGCATCTCTGTGCTCGCAGGAGTGTGGCTCAGTAAGTCAGCCCAGGACAAGAAAGGTAGCTGGACAGCTGGAATGGTAGAGTGTACACTACAACACCAAGCTGTAAATGTAGGAGGAGTGACAGAATTAGAAAATGACTTCTTTTCTAAGCAGCCAGTGTCATAATTGCTTCAGGCAGGATCACCAGGCGATGCTAAAGGCATTGGGTCAAAGACGGTGGGGAAACGGGATATTCTCAAACTGCCAAACTGTCACCCCACAGATTATGTAACTGCAAAGGACAAAGTGGGCCTTCGTAGCAACGAAATTTGGTTGCTCTACACATTTACATCATAAGCAATGAGACAGACTGGCATCACTGTGAAGGTGTAAGTCCTGCCAAAAATGTTTTACTTGAATCTAATCATGAGCAAGCAACCAGATAAATTCAAATTGTGGTACATTCTGTAAAAACACCTGGATGGACCCTTCAGAAGTGTTGAGGTCATGAAAGGTAAAACGCGGGAGGGGGACTGTTCTAGAGTAAAGTAGACTGAAGAGACATGATCACTAAATACTAGTGTGTGATCCTGATTGAAACCTGTATGTGCAGACAAGTAAAGGACGTTCTGAGGACAATTGGAGAAATTGGAATTGGACTACATGTTAAATACGATCACATGTTTAGAGCGATAACAGTGCTGTTATGCAGGAGACGGCCCTTGTTCTTAGAAGGGATCCAGGGAGGAAGTGTCACGTTGAAACTGATTTTGAAATGGTTTAGAAGATGAACTTATTAATAGATGGACAGAGAAAAGGCAGAGCCCAGGTGGCAAAATCTGAAGACCCGGTGAATTAATGTGTATGTAAAGGATGTGTGTGCATGTATTTCTCTCTACTCTCATCATTAGTGTAAGCTTGAAAGACTTCAGAATAAAATGTTGGAGAAAACGAGGACTGCATGGAGACTCGGGAAAGCAGGAGGCCTGGCCCGAGAGAGGGCCCCAAGCCCTTGCCCTCTTCTGATCGTTTCTCCGGTTTCTGTGGCCTCTCCTGGGGGCTCATGCACCTTTCCTGCTGGCAGACCCCCTTTTCTACCTCCCCACAGGCTCCTGCTACAGCCCTGGTGCCCTCATAATGGCCCTGCTGCAGTAACACTCCCGGCCAACTTAGTTTCCCAGCTCCAGAATTCCTGAGAGACGGTGACATTGTCTCCCAGCTCAGGCACCAGCTTGCCAGCAGGTGGGCTGCCCGCAAGCCAGGTGCCTGCCTGGACCCCCGTCAGCTGCGGGGTGGGGTTGTTGGTGAAGTTCATGACTGCCAGGCCTGCCCCTAAGTTGAGGCTGTGGGCTGGGGCACTTGGCAGAGCAGATGCCCCCAGACAAGTCCAGTCCAGTTAGCAGGCATGAATCTGTAACCCCCTTTTTTCTGATTATATAAGTAATAAATACTCCTTGTACAAATGTAAATGGTAATATGGAAAGTATTTGGGAGGCAGTGGTGAAGAGCCTGGGCTGAGAGTTAAGACTGTAGGAGTTCAAATCTGAACACTTACTGTGTGTCCTTAAATAGATGGCTTAACCTCTCTGAGCCTCAGTGTACTCATGGGTAGAATAAAGTTAATGACAGTGTCAGTTTCATATGGTGGTTGTGAGGATGAAATGAAATGAAACAATACATATAAAGCACCTGGCATGATATAACAGTGCTCACTGCTACATTCCTAAAAACCTGAAGGAAAATTAAATACCCTACGCTCTGGTACTTTTCCCTCCTGCCTGTTTCTGCCCGTCATACTGGGATTGGGAAATGTGTGAAAATACATAATTGTATTTTGTTTTTGTTTTTCTCCCACTTAACATCGTGTCATACCTTCTCATGTTGTTCTGCGTCTTTGAAACATAAACTTAGAGCTGCCAGGTATTCCATTAGGCGAATTTTCTGCTGTTTTTCCCTAACAGCTTCAGACGAGGAGCCCCGCCGAGACACGAGGGCCGTGCTCCCCCCAGAGGAAGGGATGGTTTTCCTGGTCTTGAGGACTTCGGGCCAGAGGAGAATTTTGATGCTTCTGATGAAGCAGCCCGAGGAAGAGATCTCAGAGGCCGAGGTCGGGGTACCCCCCGAGGTGAGTGGGGGACTCCGGACCTGGGAGGGCTGGGGGGGAAGGTTACTTTGTTGTAAAGACGCCTGCAGTATTCATCTGAGTGCGGTGTTGTTCTGTTCCCTGTGTAGGAGGGAGGAAGGGGCTTACTTCCCACTCCTGATGAGTTCCCTCGCTTTGAAGGAGGCCGGAAACCAGACTCCTGGGATGGAAACAGAGAGCCAGGTGAGGCAGTGGAGCTGCTTGTGGCTCAAGGTGGCCCTGGCCAGCAGCACGCAGAGGGCCTGCGGACCCTCCTGGCCCCCGGCTTCTCCCCTCAGCCGCCACGTCTCCGTGGCGGGCTGGGTGGCCTTTCACACGTGGGCCGGATGCTGAAGCACGTGGGAATCCAGCCTCTTCCACGAGCCAGATATTAAATACCTCTCTTCCACGAAACTGTTTTGTTAGGGGGAAGTACGGCTAAATGATCTAAAGTTTCTTAGTCTCAGTTGCTAATGGGGCAAGTATTGTTGGAGTGCTCATAAATGGAATCTCTTTGGGGTCCACAATAACTTGTAAGATTGTAAAGACATCCTGAAACTAAAGAGTCTGAGAACCGTTTTCTGGACCTTACCTGCCTCCTCCTCTTTTAGGAGGTATGTGATTTCTAATCTTGACTTTGTTTGGGTGCTGTGGTGCGCCTGGCCTTATGGTGGGTGTTCAGGGAGTGCTTCTTACATGAATGCGTGTTGGTTTTAAGTTGCTTGCTGCTTACTCGGCATAATTTCTGCCTGCTCTTGGTCACACCGTGCGGTAACATAATGAGATTGTCAGGGTCTTAGCTTTGTGGATCTGTGTTTCCTGTTTCAGGGCCAGGTCACGAACATTTCCGGGACGCTCCCCGCCCCGACCACCCCCCTCACGACGGTCACTCCCCAGCCAGCAGAGAGCGGTCCTCTTCTCTCCAAGGCATGGACATGGCATCCCTCCCGCCCCGAAAGCGCCCCTGGCACGATGGGCCCGGGACCTCTGAGCACAGAGACATGGAAGCGCCAGGGGGTCCCTCCGAGGACCGAGGAGGCAAAGGTAAGCGGGGCCGGTGCCTACACTTCTGGGGCTGCGGACGCCACCACCCTGCCATTAAGCCTGCAGGGGCCACCCGAAGCCTCGTCTCCAGGCCAGCCCCATCCCGGTATGTGCCGGTTCTGTCTGTCCCCCACTCTGCCCCCCAGGGAGGGCTCGCAGCGTGCAGAGGCACGTGCTCCCAGACAGAGCACAGGTGCGGTCTGGGGTCAGACTGCAGCCAGCTGGCGCTCTCACTGGCCCACCGCAAGCTCAGGCCCTCTGCGCAGGTCTCCTCCACTCGCTTCCAGGAACCCCTGGTTTGTGCACGTTTCCACTCCAGCTCTCTTTCAGCTTGCCCCAGCACTTTCTCTGCTGATCTGACTTTCTGGGAGACCCCTGCTCTAACTGGCAGATGTGCTGTCCACCAGTGGCTGCTCTGAGCCCTCGAGGGTGTCCTCTGTGGCAGGAAGAATTGTCCCCTCTCAGGGTCTGTGGGTTTTTTTTAGGATGGGCCCAGAAGGAACACTGCTTGTGCCCAGAGTCACAAAGACTTTGGGGAATATGGTCTGGGAGGGTTTTTTCCCCCAGGGGAGCAATGGATTATTTCTACAACTTGCAGCTTTGGATCTTTATTTTAGAGCACTGACTTTTAGCCCAGGGTAATAGCTACCAGATGCTAAGTACAGCTGTGGCCGCAGGTTAGGCCGGGCCATTGCACAGGTGGCCTACTTCAGAGGCTGCTGGAAAGACAGCCCGTCTGCCCTAGCCTGGGCTCCACTCCCCGGCTCACCTGCCTCTCTTTCCAGTCCCTTCGTTACACAGCTCTGCCTTCTGTTCTTGATGGCTCGTTGCTTCTTCCCGGTGCAGAACCCTCAGAAATTACCTCACGTCATCAGTACGTCTCCCCACCCAAGCACACATTTTGTTGCTGGTCAGTATGGGCTGTCGGGACACCTCTGTAGGTCCCGGGCTGGGGCCACATGGCTGGAGTGGACCCGATGTGCTAGCTGACAGCTCCTCTGCCAGGGTCCGTTCAGGTGGGCCCAGGCTGAACTTTGAAGGAACAGGAGCCAGAATTACTCCTTTGGCTGGCTTTCCTCACCTCTTTGTCTTAACTGGGTTCAAATTCCATTGAAAAATTTAGGAGAGACTTGGCAAAAGTCTTCTGATGGTGCATTATGGGGGATGTGGCCAAATCCTATCATCTCAAGAGAAAAAGAATTTAAAAGTCAGAATTTTAATGATACCTAGAGGTTTATGTTTCCAAGTCTGGAATAAAGAAAACTATCCCTGGGAGGAATAATTCTAAAAGCCAGTGTTTTTCTTTCTGTGCTTTTTGTTTTTCAAGAATATTTTTATTTCGTTCTTTAAAAGGAAATCAAAGTGCCCTGTAGTTGTGGGATAAGCATAGTGAACACTTACCCTGGTTTGGGTCCTTGTAATTCACATCGTCAGCAGTTTGTACGTCTTAAGTTTCTTCCAAAGTTAAGCCAGTGCTTTTCCAATCTTCCCCGAGGTCCCCCTGGTGGCACAGGAGGGTGAAGGTGCACCTCTCATAGATGGTAGGCATGCTCAGTATGGTCCATGACCTCCAGAAGGTGCTCCGTGTTCTCTCGGTGTCCCGTCCTTGGGGGACATGTCTAGTTGAGGCTGAGGGGCACGGCCACAGGCCAGGACTGGATGGAGGGGAGGGGGAGTCACAAAGGGCGGAGGCACAGTGTCTAGTGCTCTGAGTGCCGTGCTGATGTCCTCGGACTCTGTTTCAAAGAAAAACCCACAAGTGTTCCACTGTTGTCATAAAGTTTGTACCGGGAGTTACTGATTAACCGTCTCTGATATTAAAAAGTGACATGTAAAATCATTGTGTCATTTCAGGCCGAGGGGGCCCAGGACCTTCCCAGAGAGTGCCCAAGTCCGGGCGTCCCAGCTCCTTGGATGGAGATCACCATGACGGATACCACAGAGATGAACCTTTTGGGGGCCCTCCAGGCAGTGGTACCCCTTCGAGAGGGGGCCGGAGTGGCAGTAACTGGGGTAGAGGGAGTAACATGAACTCTGGCCCGCCACGGCGAGGAGCTTCAAGGGGGGGTGGGAGGGGTCGGTAGGAACTGGGGCTCCATCCCTCTGGGCCTCTCTGGACAGTATTTAAGAACTTCCTGTGGACTCACCAAGAGAAACAAAAGGAAACCTGCACCATGTAGCCCTGAGCTCCTTCCGGGGCAGCCGAAGCCCAGGAGCCCCTAACGAGGTCTTCACGACGAGACTGCTGCTGGCCGCGCAGAGTCGCCGGCCTTGTTCTGTCCTGTCCACCCACTGCCCCGACTCCCACATTGTTTTGTGAAGATAAACGCTGGAATCCTTTTTTTTTAAGTGTCACGAGACATGGAGCACCTCCACCAATTTAAGTTCATGTCCAATTGGAAATTTGTTTCTATATGTACAGTTTGTCAGAGAAAAAACATTAAGTTGTTTTTGTATGAATACAGAATGTGATTTAAGCAAGAATTAACAGAAAACTAGTCGTCGAGTGCTTGCCTTACGGAAACCGTTACCACCACGTCCAGTCTGCTGAGGGGTATCCAGTTAGTGCTCGTATTTGTGAGCACACTTGATGGGAATCTGTCATCTAAATTAATTCTTCGGTGAACTCTGGTTTTAATCAAATCCTTATCTAGCCATTCTGTCACACATTTTCGTAGTAGAGTGAGAAATATTTCAAAACTAGTTCAAAACTAACATAGTTTGAAGTAGCTTCAAAGCCTTAATTAGACCTGCTGTTTCTGGCAGATGGAAAATTATACACTGAAGAAAAAGTCTTCTGGATGTACAAGCAGGGATCTCCATCTCCTAGTAACCACACCTTAGACCTGAGTTGCCTTTTTCTGATGAGAGGAACTTGCAGTAAGTCAGAAATCAACTACACATACCCTCTGAATAAGTAAATCATTTCACAAATTGTTTTAAAAGTTGAAAAGGAATGGACCAGAATCTCTCTTAAAACAATCTTGCGAAGTAATTTCTTCCTCTTCCATAGTATGTGGAAACACCAATGTTTAAGGCAGAGGATAGTTCTAACTTAAAGTAAGCCAGGAAGTTCTCATCCACAGCAGATTCCTTTAGTTCTAAATAAATGGAACATCTGGCCCACTTTGGGTTGGAAGCCAAAAGTTCAGTTTGAGATACCCCACGATACTGACCCTTACTTTGCTTTTATAAAAAGAAAGCTATTATTCAAAGGACAGTTCTGTGGCCACCCTAACATCTCATTACTTTGCCAGCTTCAGTTTACTTGACAAATTTAGTTGTGCTGGAAACTGTCAGTAGTGGCTTACAAAAGGCATAGCTGGAGAGTATATAAAACCTCAGCTGGTTCCCCATTAATTAAAAAAATATTAAAACCTAAGTCATTTCTGCAGATAAAATGATGACCCCACACATACTGCTTTTTTTTAGGGGGTTAGAATCTGGAGCCTACAAGTGATTTTCACTTTACTTTGCAATTGAAAACATCCTATTTATCAGCACCTCACTGTAAACACACATTTAGGTAAAAAGAAGTTGTAATCAAATTCTAAGAAGCTAAAAAAGGATGCAGAGAGCAAACCCACACAGAGATTAGGCTCCTTTCCCCCCGAGATTCGTGTAGTAGTAACTATCATAACATTTTAAGGCTTTAATTTTAAAAACACAGTACCTCAGTAAGCAGGTGGCCAGATGAAGTTTTGAGAATAAATTCATTTAGAGAAAACTGAAAACATTACATATTTATTAAATACTTTGTGTATGTGTATATATATGTATTTTAAAGCATCACTGTCAAAATACATACAAGACACTGTGCTTTGAATTTATAAAAGCTAGATTTCCAAACAGTGAATTCTTGAGAGGATGTCGGGAAAACAATTTTTAAAAAGATACAATAGCATCAACGTAAAAAATGGACTGAACATCTGTAAAATCTTCAGCCGTGCAAATTCTAGAGAAATTTAGAACTAGAATACAGAATAATTAGGGGGTAGAAAGAGCAGCCAAAGGTACAACTTTTCCAAGTCACAAAAATAAATCAGTCTCTGAAACAGTGGATTTGCTTTTACAAACCCCCTTGGTTGCTCCTCTTGAGGTAGGTAACCCTGTGTACTGACAGGGGAGTAAGGCAGCATTCTTAGAGAATATGGAGGCGGGGTAGGTCTACGTTGTGGACGCTGGTCACTTTAGTGTCCATTTCTTGGAGCAGGGCTTAGGACACTGATCAGGACCTATGAATATAAATTTTGAGGTTGCACAAAGAGGCAGTCATCTATTGCTGCCTGACAACCTGTTCAGGCAACACTGGAACCCAGCCCCAGAAAAAATTATCTTCAAATTGTGCAATCCAGCATGCAGAACAGTGGTTCTCCACCTTAAGGAGAAAGGAATCATCTGGAGAGCTCTAAAAAAATTCTCATGCCTAGCTCCCACCTCGCAGAGATTCTGATTGGGCTGAGGTTTGGCTCTTCAAGTAATTCTCATGTGAATTGAGAACCAACCACTAGCATAGAATTTTAAAATTCTAGATACGTTTTACTTCCTAGTCTATATATGGCTAGTGACAAAAGATGTAGTTTTCTGGACTCATCAAAATATTGGGCCCATACTTTCTGGCAATAAATTAAGGTATGCAATAAGGTGCCAGACAAAAGTAGGTGCTAAACCCACAATGAAGGAAATTTGGCCATTAGATACGAAAGACCCATTACACTGCATTAAGATCAGACTACAGAGTATAAATTATAGTTAAAAAGCAGATCATAAAGTTAGGAATGGAAAATTAGGCCTTGAAGAAATCCATGATTTCCATCAAATATGGAAACTGGATGTAGAATGATCTTCCCGTCGCCCAGGAGTCCTCTAGCTCAGTTCTGCCACGGACCTTTCAGCATTTACATGCACTTTACTGAATATCGTGCATCTTGGTCCATCGCTTGTGTCAGCTTAAAGAGAACCAATTTTCCTTTAATTTTGTAAGGCCTTATATTTACAGTCTCACTAAAAGAAAAGAAAATCGAGATAAACCTCAACAAAAGTACTTTGAAAAATTCCGGTCGCTAAATTCAGTGTTTAATCTGGTACTTTTATAATAGATCCACTCACATCGAAGAATAAGGGAAAATAATTTCCAAGAGCCAAAGAAAACAAATTTAGTGTATCTAAGTTACTACAATTTACTGGTGGATTTTTTTAAATGACAAACGGAAAGAAATCTGAGAAGAGCATTCAGGGCAGGTAATTAAAACCACAGAGCGATTTTCTACTGAGTGCAGTCTAAGACCGCGATTAACGCAAAAGCGATTTATCTTGTTTCACAGCACCTGCTACCGAGTATAGCACAAAATGCTGAAATCGAGGAGCTTCCGAGACTGCTCGTATCTCGGTTTTATAACAGCCGCTCAGTTTACGGATCCGGAGGCACAGAAAGGAGCTGCTTTGCCCTGGACAGTCTTCGGTGTGGCGGGCGCTGGGCCCCGGGTTCGGGCTCCGCGTCCACTCCGACGGCCCCTCCTAGGGCAGCTCCGCGTCCACTCCGATGGCTCCTCCTGGGGACGGGCTCCGCGTCGACTCAGACGGCACGAAAAGGGGACGGGCTCCTCGTCCACTCCGACGGCGCGGGCCCCGGGCCTCACACGGGTAGCGCCTTGGCGAGAGCGGCGCCGGGGCCCAGACGCCCGAGCGCTAGGCGCAGCGCGGTGCCGGCGCCCCGGGGGAGCAGGCCGAAGAGCGCGGCCAGCAGCGCGCCCACCTGCGCGCAGGCGCCCAGCGCCGTGAACAGCGTGCTGCGCAGCCACAGCGCCGCGTACAGCGTAGCGCCCAGCGCGGCCACGTAGAGCAGCGCGGGCCGCGACGGCGCCTCCTCGCAGCGCAGCAGGCGTCCGCACGCCGCGCCGCCCCGCAGGAGCGTGCCGCCCGCCAGCGCCAGCACCGAGCCCAGCGACCAGAGCAGCGCGAACTTGCGGGCGCGCAGCAGCAGCACGGGCGCGTAGAGGGCGGCCAGGCCGAAGCAGAGCGCGGCCAGTAGCAGGCACACGCCGCTCGCCGCCAGCCGTTGAGCGCGCGTGACGCTTGGGATGCACGGCGGTCCCGCCGCTGCCGGCTCCCCAGGACTCTGCGCCCAGGTCCAGCGCAGGCCCGCGCGGTCCAACCACGCCCCCACCGACCCGGCCCCGGCCGCGGGCTCCTCCGCCTCTTCTGCGGCGAGCAGCGGCTCCGCGGCCGCCGGCCCGCCCGCTTTCCCCTGGGAGAGATACTCCCGCAGCTGGCGGTGGAGGTCCGCCATCTTGGGCGGGAGCTCCTGGCAGGGCTGCCGTCCACTTCCGGTTCTGGCCTCCGGAGTCGGTTGGTCCGCCGTGGCGGAAGGGGCGGGGCCTGAGTCTCTGAGCTCCTGGCTCGGGGAGTGGAGGGTCCGCTGGTCCCTGCGCGTTTGCCGTTTTAGCGCCCGACCTTGTTGTCTTTTGGGTGTAAGCGCTGTTGGGGCATGGATAAATCATGGCAGCAGTAAAAGTTCGTTGGCGGAGGGAGTCGGTGTGGCAATAAAAGAAGCTGAGGGAAACATGTATCCTAACCTCTGGGTATCAGTATCCTGGTTGTGATACTGCGCTATAGTTTTCCAGGATGCTGCCACTAAGGGGGACGGGGAAGGGTTGCGCAGGCGCTGCGTATTTCTTAACTCCGCTAGTCTGTAATTAACCGACCTGCAGGCTTTAGGTGGTTTCTTTGGGAAAGCTACAGAGTTGATGAAGAGTTAGCCCCCTACTCCCACCAATTTGCTTCTCTCCTTTCCCCATTTCAGTGGAGGCCTGGCGATTCTTGGGTCTTTCAAGTCTCCTGTCATGTGTGTGTTTTTTTAACTGAAATATAGTCAGTTACAATGTGTTGATTTGTGGTGTCCGTGTCCTGTGTTTTTGATGCACCTCTCTGTGCTTCTGACATTTATGGGTCTACGTGTCCTGAGGCGTCGTCAGATCATTGTGATAAGCCTGCTCACTATTCCTGTTCACGTCAATCTGTTCTGAGATCGTTCCCACAGTCACGCTCTTCTCTCAGCCTCCCTGAGGTTCCTTGGCCGTGGTTACTTGGGTCACGCCCTACCGGGTCTCTGCCAGGGTTTCTGCCCCCCCCCCCCCCGGTTTCTGCCTGGCTCCTTCCAACTCCCAGACGTAACAATCAAGCTGCACCTGTTGCCATTTACCGTTCTCCACTGTCCGCTTTGAGTTCGCACCTCTCCTAGTTGTGAAAGTTTATTTGTTTCAGATTGTGCCGGCAGCTCGAGGCCGGATTCTCTTCCATCTCCCTTTTCTTGGGACCGGAAGGCAGCTGCAAAGGCACACAAAGGGATATTGAACAGACGGATACAACTGTCAGATTCAGTACGGTAGAGGTGCCTGAAAGGCTATGTCGATGATTCCTTTGGAGATGTAGAAGCCATTGATTGAAAAAAACCTGTTTTGCTAGACTTTATAAATTACTGTTGTGAACTTGAATG